TGCGCACCGGAGCACGGGTCTACTAGTTAATGCATTATCGTTATAATTGAGGATTATAGGATCTGGTTCGACATCGTTAGCGTCAAATAGATTAAATAAAACGAAGCACTTAGACCGCGCGATATTCCAAAAAAACGGGGTAATAAAATAGATATACAAAATATTACCGATAATAAAACAGACATAGGAGGAATTGCCATTAAAACAAGATACAGTCGTATAATTTCCGTCGCGATATATCATGGTTGTAAAATCAAGACTCAAAGTGTACGAGTTCTCTAAATTTCTCTAAAACAATTTATTATAATGTCTTTTATTCTGACGATGCCCAATCGAATGCAATGCAGATTTGTATCGAACAGCTTCGACTAGTAAGACGGTATCGTATTTAGTGAATAACGAAAGTAATGTCGAAATCTCAGAAAGTCGTACAAAGGGTTTGACGTAAGGAGGCAAACGAGCGTGTTCTATCCGTGGGCCGCGAGTTGTTCACCGGTTCGTTATTACGACGAGATGCACGCGGCAATTACCTCTTAAGTATAGGTGTCCATTATATCGGTTGAAAGAGAACCTCGATTTCGATGGAACGACTCGATAAGAATGACGGCGTGGTGGATAGTTATTAGTGCTCGTCACGTCGCTTTATCCGTGGACACGACACTCGGCTAGCCACGGAATCTGTGTGAGCGATACGTAACCGCGCGAACGGAGACGCACGATTCGAAACCCGGCTTTTTCCTTACGGGACGTTTATTACGAGTACACGTAATATGGTTTCGAGCAAATCCAACGGGCAGGTGTAATTTTATCGGTGGTCCCGCCTCGTTTCAAGCACTTAACGACTTATTAAATAGCGCGAGACGTTAATGAGTCTCGGATGCGATTCACCGATTCTGGAAAGCGACCTATCGCGTGCCAGAAGGAATCGAAAGTCGGGTGTGTCGTCCGGTGACATTCAAGCCTCGAATTTATTCGATATTACGCTCGAATCGACCCGCTAACATTCCCACAAATGTCACGAATCCACTTCGCGAAGGTGAGTCGAGGCCCGTGGAAACGCGAGAGAACGTTGCGAAACGCGTCTGACTACTTATTTATTCGTCGACCAACGATTTCAACGCGTTACAGACCCGCGTGTGTTCGACGAATTGCAAGCTAGCGTACCGTTATCGCATAAATAACCTACCATTACCGCTGGGAACTGGCCAAAGCTTCGTCGAACGATGATTCCTTCCGTCGCGAATTATTCAAACAGATGCTCGCCTCTTTATTTCTTCATCCAAATGACACGACCGAGTCGGCCAGAGAAAATTGAACGCCTGGAAACGTGGAAGGAAATCCTGAAAGTTAACAGCGGATTCGAGCGATTTCTCTCGCGCGTGTGGTCCACATTGGCGTAAGGGCTCACCCTCGGGACTCTCTTCTTCCTCACTGAATTAAACCTTTCCATCGAAATGTTACACACGATAATATTACACGGAGAATTATATTTAAAATTGTAGGTATATTTCCAGATGTTCTGCAATTATAGATACTGTTCATATAATGTAACGTTGATTGATTAACCCTCGAGACTCACAGTCACCATTATATTTAATACAATAATTTTAAATAAGCATTTTTAACATGACACGTGTGATGTATAAACACAATGAAGCATAGTGGAAATTATTAGTAAAGAAATAATAACCTTAAGAAAATTTGTTTCAAGAAAACTTTTCAACTAAGTTTTAAAGTTGCTGTTTGTAAACAGTCAAATTAACTTCAAGTGTAAAAGGTTAAATAGTACATTTCACTTTTATAAAATTTTCTGTTCGATCGTATGTCATATTGAACTTTGGGTAAGCAGATGTAGTAAAGCTTCTATGTAAAACCTACAATACAATTTACAGTAGTTCCAGTCCAGTATAACTGATGAATAATTTGATTACGCCAATGCAAAGGTCCATGGGAGCGAAAAGCTCGTAGAAATAAGCGGTAAAAGTGTAAATTTCTGGAAAAAGAATGTTCATTGATGAATAGTTTACCGTATCTTGGCCTCAGAGTGGTTCTAGGCTGCCCCACCATAACGACCCAGTGCACGAGGATCCCCTTCCATTGGCAGGACAATGGGCCCTACCTAAATATCGGGGGATCATGCTAAACGGCGGTAGATCAAAGGAACCGACAGAATCCAGTGGCGAGCTATCATAATAATTAGGCTCGCTCGCGCCTCTTTGTATCGGGATAGAAAAGCCGACGGGAAGGCCGAGAGACGAGAAGAAAAAGGGCCGGACCTGCTCTCCGCTTTGCTTGCCTTCGCTGCTACAACTGTGGACCCATCTCCGTCCTCCTTTCTTCTTCTTCGTTGAAACAAGACAATGCTTTCGAAACATTTCGTTGATTTCTCGTTGTCGCACTTGTTCTAATTTGTGGATAATTTAACGGCAAAGAATAGAAACTTCGAATTCGTACTAGTTTTATCTGCCTGTTCACTGTGGGATGAAAAATCATGTTCATACTCGTGAAACAGAAAAACGAATGGTAAAAAACTCTGAAGAAGCTTCATGTTTGGTTTCAATGTTTGGAAATAAACCCCAAGGAAATTGCGAGGTTTTGCTACTCGAAGTTTACACTCCGGTAAAAAATCGCCGCAGGTTTATGCTCGATTACGTGGAACAAGGGAATTCAAGCATGAAAGGCGAAAAAAGTTCAAGACAATTCTCCTGCATGTACAATTGTTACACTTGAACCCGTGCTCTAGTACTAGAAGAGTTCTTGGAAGCTTGCGAACTGAAGAAAGCGTGAATTTCAGGATGTAGTTCGCTCACGACATTCAAGATCTCCACATCGTCCAAAAGGTTATTCGTCCCGTTACATATGCGAAATCCTTTCTCTTCTCGTGCGAACTTTAAACCCCCGAAGAATGTCAGACAAGAAGCACCATGAAAAATACACCGGAGTTTCTCTATCGGAGTGTGAAGGAACAAGGAGCAAAATTCGCGGTGAGAAGCAGACGCGTAATTTCGAACGATTCCTCGACTGCTAGACGGATATTTTCGTGTCGTATCGAAACGTCGGCTATTCGTCGAGCAGATTGCTACGATTACACGACCGAATCGATTCTCGGCATTGGTCGAGGATAATGGTCTGTATGTAATAGTCACTACCTTTCTAGACTCGTTCCGGACGAGTAATGTTCGGAACGACGTTATCCAGTCCGCCGATTTTTCTTGCGTTGTCCTACACGTCCATCGTTTTCAACGATTCCGGAAACATGTTCGACGCCCGGGTGACTTCCGCTTGTCTTGATCGATCAATCCATGAAACGCGATCGAAGGAACCGCAGAACATAGAGTACGAGATTCGCGAGACTTCCGTCGAGTTTTTCCTTTGATACATCTGGGTACGAACATACCTGCCGGAACATTAAATAAAACATCAAGGAACGATCAACTGTGACCAGTGTTTTACGATGGAAGACGTATAAGTGAAGACCGCAACACGTTACTTCAGGAATCTGTGCTTCGCCACGTGTTAAATCCACACGCTAAAGTTTTATAATTGAACTACTGCAGATTGAAATTCTATGTAATAAATTATCACGCGAACTGTTACATGTCGAATCGTTGCACGTCGAATTTCTACGCGTTGAACTATCACGAAGCAAATTACATCGCTCCAAAATTGGCGCTGGACAGCCACGCGTGTAAATTCTGTGCGCTTCAAATTATCATGAGTTGAAATTCTACGAGCTCTAACTTACTACGCATCAAAATTCTACGCGCGAAATTATCGCATGTTGAGCTACCATGCATTGAGACACCAGATACCGAAGTATCATGTTTCAAGATTCTACGTTCAGTTACCACGCGTTGAGTTATCAGACGCCGAAGTATCATGTTTCAAAATACTACGTTCAATTACTACACGTTGAATTATCAGACACCGAAGTATCATGTTTCAATATTCTACGTTCAATTACCACGCATCACGAGACACCGAAGTATCATGTTTCAAGATTCTACGCTGAATTACCACGCGTCACTAGACACTGAGCTATCATGTTTCAAGCTTCTACATCGAATTACGCGTCAGACGCTGAACTATCATGCATCAAAATTCTGTGCGTTGAGTTACCACGCTCTGAATTTTTATACGCCAAACTACCACGCGACGGATCACCAAGCGTCGGATTACCAGACGTGCACCTACATATCAGATCTCCAGGCGTTCGATAGTCACGCGTTGTATTACAATGCATTGTACCCATACGTTAGATTACCACGCGTTGTATGTTCCCGTCAACGAATACGATCACAAATCGTCTATTAACCACCTTGACAAGACGCGTGTGAACGCGTCCATCCGAAAGAGCAAATCGACGACAGGGGATTGACAATTAAACGCAGCATGGAAGGAGTTCCGAGTGCACCACCCCTTTCCATAATTTTTTCCACTTGCACAGCCCCGCCCAGGGCCATGTCGCGAAACTGGAACTTCCTCGAAATGGTACAATATTCGAGGACACGACTGCAGTTCAGGATGGCCTCATCGAATTCCAGGACTTTAATTTCGCCAGTACCGGCCGATAAGCGTAGCCCTGTTGAAGCGGAACCTAGAAATCGGCAGTCCGGGTGGGATGAAATCACGGTGGGCCTCGTTAGGCGAGCGTTTTCGTCGTGGAGGGTCAATCCCACGTTCGAAGCCGGCTGGACGATGGCCGGGGGAGGGCGACGGCGAGGAAAGGGGCGATGGAAAAGGAGGAAGGACGAAAGGGCCGGGTACGTTGAGGCCGTTCGGAGCAGCGCCACAGGACGTTAAGTACGTCTCGTAAAAATTCCATCGAGCCAGCGTCATTTTGCCGTGTCGTAGGGGCTTGGGTTAAATCTGGCTGGGGGGTTAGGATAGGCAGGTCTAACTCTGAGACCGCCCATGCACGACCCGGTTAAGCTCGTCCCATCGACAGAGGTGGTGCAAAGTCGGAGCAAACGTAGTAGGGGCATTCGAACGATCGTGCTCCCTCCTCCGTGTCGAGGCGGTCGAGAGAGAAGCGCCTGCCCCTGCAGGAACACCGGCCCGGGATCCCCGTCCCCGTCCGTACCATTTCGAGTCACTGGCTTGGACTGGCCTGATAGCGAGTCTCGAAAACCCGTAGCTCGTTTACCATCCACCACGTATTGACGTTTCGTCCGCGAACCGACCACTCGTTTCGTTCGACCATGCTCGCGTCGATCGTAGCCGAAAGCCTGCGACTCTGCGGTGCCCTCGAGTGTTAGTGACGCCAACGTGATCCTCGAGCATCGTTCGCGCGTGTGAATCGGTTTCTGGTGCGGACGAAAACTCGGAGTTCGTTTTCGAGCAACCTTGGGTTATTCGTTGTTACGGACAGGACACGATGCGGTGATTCGTGAGATCTGTTCTGGACATTTCTGCTCCGTCTTGCAGTCCCTATCTTTCGGGGAGCGGCTCAAGGATGACAGGCACGCAACGGCGGAGGGAACAGTGGGAGTTCTGAGAGCGGTTTCCGTGATGCGAGAGAAACTGGCTGGAACGATGACCACGGGCGACCAGCGGGAAATACCATGACGGTGCATCGTTGAAAGCAAAAACTGCGTGGAAAAGTCGAGCGGCGTGTAGTGTTTGATCGCGCGTGAAATCGAGATGAGTTGGTCGACTCAAAGGGTGCCGGCACCCGTGAGCTGAACCATCGTGACATTTCGGACAAGACTCTTCTGGCGGTTTCGATGACCGCGAAAGGAACGGTGAACGGTGCTATCGCGCGTCCGCGTGCTAAATCAGCGTACAGTGACAAAATTAACTCACGTTAATCAACGAAACGTCGACGGGTTACTTGTTCCGTAAATGAGTGAAACGTGAGGGTCGAGGGAGTCTATGAACTCAATTCATCAGTTCCGTAACTGTTTGTCGATTCGCTTCGTTGCTTCGGAAGATCGAGGTTGGATCTGAAGATCCCTCTTGCGGAATGTGTACGACGGAAATGACGGAATCGTACACGATGTCACCGTCAACGACGGTGTCTTCCAGCGCCACGACGCCAGGTTGCCTGGGATCGCCTGCTCACCGACGGACACCTTGCAGAGGCTCTCCCGGTCGAGGCGACGCCCAGGACGACGAGGACGAGATCTCCGTCGGTTGTCCGAGTCCTTTGCCCCTCGTGGTCGTCACTCCCAGCGCGGAAGAGGACGAAAGATTGTCTCAATCGAGGGAGGAGTACTCGGACAGACTCAGTCCGCGGAGGAGCTACCCGAGGGACTCGGTGATCGACGACGACGACAGCTACTCCAGAAGCGGCGACTACAGGACGTCGAACGGCAGGAGCGGCGGTGATTCCGTTACCACGTTGAGGGAGGACGAAGACGACGACGAGGAGGATGACGAGGAGCTGAACAGCAGGACCAGCAGTAACGGAGCCTCGGCAGCCGGTGCCACGGACGACTACTTCAAGCCTCTGAAACGTCTGAAGATGGTGCAGATGCAGCACTCGGACGAAGAGGACGACAGGGACCGCGAGAGCAACGAGCGAGGGGTCAAGTCTTTCAGTATTCTGGACATTCTGTCGCACAGACCCAAGGCGAAGATCGTGCGCCCCTGGGACACGGTCGAGTCGAACCTCAATCACCATCATCATCGTCACCATCTTCATCAGCAGCAGCAGCAGTCGCATCAGCATCACCACTTGCATCATCATCATCATCACAATCATTCCACCGCGCCCAGGGACCTGTCCTTGATGGGCATGTCCTTGGCGTCCATGTCTGGCTCCATCAGCGAGCCGCCCCTCAGCAGTTCGTCCTCCTCCGGGAGAAGTTCCGTCTCCGATTCCGGAAGTCCGGACCCTCTGGCTCATCACCATCACGGTCTCCACCACGGCATACACCCTGGTCTCCATCACGCGGCGTTGCAGCAGCAACAGCAGCAGCAGCAGCAACAGTTTAAAAGGAAAACCGCGCAGCAGCACAGCTCGCAGAGCGGACACCACGGGAAAAGGACGACGGGTCAGGGAAGTCCCCTGGACGCTTTGTTCCAAATGACCAGCAAAACCTTCGACGCCGGCGAGCACAGTCAAGGTGAGTTCTTTAAATTGTAAGATATCGAGGATAGAATTTTGGGACGAGATTGGGAATTATTATGGAAATGGGAAGGATGCTGGTTATGAAACAATACGTGTTTGTACGCGTGCGGGTTTTACGAAGATTGAACAGGTCTTAATAGAATCGAATGGACGGTTCCTTATTGATGGTAGAACCGCTCTTTTGTACTCCCACCTGGACACCGTCGATGAATGCAGGACTTAATTTTGATCGATGTTCTTTCCACGCGTCGATGGACGAGTGATTCAGATACTTTTTGCCGGTGTGACGTTGTTTCGTTTCATTGTTTCGAATTGAATCTTTCACCTTGGCGATCTTTTATTCGATTTCCTTCTCTGACGTAAGTTGGACGAATTCAAGTTTCAGCGTTATTAAACAGACACACCACTTTTAGACAGTACAGGAGGTAAAGAATATAGTACTCTTTGGAATAAACGCGAGGAAATTTCTGTTTTTCATATTGCGAAGGTTGTTCAATACCTGTGGTCACGTTGAGGGAGGACGAAGACGACGACGAGGAGGATGACGAGGAGCTGAACAGCAGGACCAGCAGTAACGGAGCCTCGGCAGCCGGTGCCACGGACGACTACTTCAAGCCTCTGAAACGTCTGAAGATGGTGCAGATGCAGCACTCGGACGAAGAGGACGACAGGGACCGCGAGAGCAACGAGCGAGGGGTCAAGTCTTTCAGTATTCTGGACATTCTGTCGCACAGACCCAAGGCGAAGATCGTGCGCCCCTGGGACACGGTCGAGTCGAACCTCAATCACCATCATCATCGTCACCATCTTCATCAGCAGCAGCAGCAGTCGCATCAGCATCACCACTTGCATCATCATCATCATCACAATCATTCCACCGCGCCCAGGGACCTGTCCTTGATGGGCATGTCCTTGGCGTCCATGTCTGGCTCCATCAGCGAGCCGCCCCTCAGCAGTTCGTCCTCCTCCGGGAGAAGTTCCGTCTCCGATTCCGGAAGTCCGGACCCTCTGGCTCATCACCATCACGGTCTCCACCACGGCATACACCCTGGTCTCCATCACGCGGCGTTGCAGCAGCAACAGCAGCAGCAGCAGCAACAGTTTAAAAGGAAAACCGCGCAGCAGCACAGCTCGCAGAGCGGACACCACGGGAAAAGGACGACGGGTCAGGGAAGTCCCCTGGACGCTTTGTTCCAAATGACCAGCAAAACCTTCGACGCCGGCGAGCACAGTCAAGGTGAGTTCTTTAAATTGTAAGATATCGAGGATAGAATTTTGGGACGAGATTGGGAATTATTATGGAAATGGGAAGGATGCTGGTTATGAAACAATACGTGTTTGTACGCGTGCGGGTTTTACGAAGATTGAACAGGTCTTAATAGAATCGAATGGACGGTTCCTTATTGATGGTAGAACCGCTCTTTTGTACTCCCACCTGGACACCGTCGATGAATGCAGGACTTAATTTTGATCGATGTTCTTTCCACGCGTCGATGGACGAGTGATTCAGATACTTTTTGCCGGTGTGACGTTGTTTCGTTTCATTGTTTCGAATTGAATCTTTCACCTTGGCGATCTTTTATTCGATTTCCTTCTCTGACGTAAGTTGGACGAATTCAAGTTTCAGCGTTATTAAACAGACACACCACTTTTAGACAGTACAGGAGGTAAAGAATATAGTACTCTTTGGAATAAACGCGAGGAAATTTCTGTTTTTCATATTGCGAAGGTTGTTCAATACCTGTGGTTTATCCGGAAGTCGTTAAAGGACTTCCGGGACCTTCAGAAAGCATGCGTCTGTGTGCGTGCCTCGAAATCTTCCATTCTTTGACCATCTGTGACAGATACAGCTTCGGAACCTCTTTAACTCTTTGGCGTAACATTTTCAACCTTGAAACAAATGTCATTTTTCATTTCTGGTGAATTAAATAACACTTCTTTCCTTCAAAGTACACCGTGAACTTATAATGTCTATGCCCAGAATATTCTGTGGTGGCAGATTAAGATATTTATTGAATGTTTATAAAAGTTCATAAGTTAGAATAATTTTGGTTGAATAAATTCTTGCAACCAGAGGGTTAATATGAATGTCCGAATTCACACCCCAGGTCGATATCATAATTTGCACGTATAATGGACTTATCACCCTAAAAGTATTGAAGACAGTATTTACCGAACGTAAATATAAATCCATAAGCCACAAGCTAACTTTCGTACCTCTAACGAGTACATCACCCCTACCTGGTTAAACACCCAAATAACGAAATCGACCCGAAAGATTAATGCCTAAATAAACATTTACAGACTTGCCAACAAAGTATTTATCAAGAGTACATAAATTGATATGTCATCGGTAATATTTTTTAAAAAGATGAATTTATCATCCCCCAAAATGAAGTATCCAAATACGGACTAAGCTCTCAATGGTTATCACTCTTCAAACACACGCTATCGAATCTCTGTTGTCGGTAGATAAGCAGAAAAGGGAAAAGGTACTAGAATTGTGAAGCACGTTCCGAACGCTACTTTCCAGAAGCACTCTTCCACGAACTAATATTAGTATAATGGCGGTGTCTGTCGCACCGTAATTGAACGACGATGACAATTTTTCTGGCAGCTCGCAATTTCACTCCACATTCTTCCTCGAGTTCTGCGGGTCGTTCCTAGATACGGTATTAATCTCGTAATCGAGATTGCGTGGCCAGGATTGATGGTGCACCGGGGACAAGTGCGCGAGCTTAAGGGAATACGCAAGATTCCGATCGACGATATCGATCCTTGTTTATTCTGTTTCCCGGTCAACGGAAATCAAACGATTCGTCATTCGAGATCGTTAGCCAAGAACCGTGAATCGACGCTTTAACGTCTGTTACGCGTAGCCGATCGATCTACCGATGCTCTACTTTTTCCTTTTGTTTACCACAATTTGCCGCTCGAAACGGTTTATGGACATTTTGCCGTAGATTTTTTCGACTTTCTACACCTTTTGAGGGTAGCTACTTACTCACTTACTTTGTCTTCAATTGTGTTATCGAAATTATCTTCGGTTGAAGTTCATGACTGATGTTACAGTTTTATTGTGGTGGAATTGGATTGGAGTTTGTAGATGATTTATATTTATTTTGCAAATGGTTCACACTAAAATTACAACTAGCATTCTGTAGAGTGGTATGAGGACGTTTAAAAGGTATTCACAGAGAAGAGGAATAGATATATCGTCTACTTATAATTTTTATAAAAATATTTCTGTAGATGAAGTTTTGGTTAACACTCTGTACATTCTACAATATTTACACTGATTATTAAGTCTGATTTTTAAGTCCTGTCTAATAATAACTGTTTATCAACCTGTCAGCTAAAAATTAATAAACTTGACACGTCAGTCACGTGCACTCCGGAAGATGACATCTGATTAAATTTTATTGCAGGATTATTTATCGATATCAACAAGTCTATTTGACTATTACAGGACTCTTCAGAATTTATATACTTAGGGAAAGACTATTTCTAATGATCAAAAATTTGAAAATCGAGGTCCAGAAATTTTTGCAGTAGGATTTGAAGGAAGATTAAAGCGTTACTCTACCAAAAACCATTCGAATTTACCGAGGTCCGGCCGGTTGTAAAAGCTCTATCCGTAGTTAATTGCCGGTTCCCTCCATTGAACCCCTCCGTAATTATAATTTTACGCGAACGACCGAGGCGCGATAAAAACGAGTTTCAGAAAATTTTCGTGTCCGTCTCGACTCGAAAAAATTGGATTTGCCGATAATATTGAGTAAAATCGACGTGTAAACACGGAGCCCGTATCGGCAATTCCTTTCTGTTTCTTTAATCCAATTACCTGGGCGGTAAAAGACCCGAGAGGGGACCGCAAACACGAGCCCCTTTTTCCGAATCGTAAAACCCAGTTTTCCGTAACAGGGACCCGAACGTTTCTAAAGCGGCAAATCGAATTCGAGATAGTTGACGGGATTAAAATCGCCGAACGAGGGAGAGGCCGCAATGATCATCGTAAAATTAAGGGTTTATGAAAGGAGAATTGCCTATGGAGGGATGTTTTCGAAGGTCCCGAGGGACATCCATCCTCGTGATCGTCCATTGTTTATCACAGGGTTCGGCAAATTGTTTTACAACCCCGCCCGCGTGTTTACACTCGGCCGAGGGAAGGTTTTTTTCTCGGTCGGCCATGTAGACCGCGCAAACAGCCAAGCTGGCATAAATAGCGGATTTCGAGACGCTTCTGAGACGTTATTGCCTCCTTTGCGAAGCCGATCCTCTTCGTGCACGTACGGGAAAGACGAAAGTATCCTTGAACGAGACGTCTGAAACGCTCTGAGTCACGACGGTGGCACGATAATAAGAGAAGCAAATCTGCTGACCAGATCAGGTAGCTCGAGGATCAGGATATCGTTCGCGTAAGGACACGCGAGTCGATTTCACGCGGAGTGAAAGCTCTTTCAGCGGAACGATCGACCAAACACCGGACCAACCAGATCGATTCAACATTTCTTTCTTTTGTTCGCGGTTTCGTATTTGAAGCGATTCGTCATTGGAACCTTTTCATTAGATCGGAACTTGAAACGTATGAACTTTGGCTAAGATTCACAAATTGGGAATTTATGAATTTAATTCGAAATTTAGAGGCTTTGAGTATTGGGTACAATCCAGAATTTATTGTAGATGAGTGCATCGAATATAGAGTGTCACTTAAAGATACTTCTCACAATCAGGAACTTGAACATTCAGAAAGTTTGATTCCGAAATACTGATATGTCTGAACTGCCCCCAAAAATTGAACCAGTATCTAAAATGACATCTCGATAATAACAGAGAACAAGGCCGTAAATTTAGACACTCCTATATCCATCACACATCAAGACGTTTACCATATCGCACTTCCGTTCACTTCCAATTACCTCCTGAACACGAATATAAATAAAAATAAACTGTCGATGACTTCTTAAAAAACTCACCCTTCACCAGGGAAAGGACATCACGTTTCTAGAGCAAAAGCACACATTATCTCATAAAAGGTATATGCACGTATCTGCGTGGACGTCTGTGTGTCCCTGTCCTCAGGACCACGTAACTTTAGGCCCTTTTTTTATACACCAGCAATTTCTACACGAGTAATTTATTATGTGCCGCGGCGAGAGCATATGTCTCATTTGCATATAGCGTGATACAGAAAACGCGAACCACTTCTTCCGACGGTGATGGCGACCGCCACGCTGTGGCGACCAATATGCGATTTCGACAATCAGGTGTCCTTCATACTTCTTCTATAGTGTTGCGATTCATTAACGAAACTCGGTCATGATCGGGAAATGTGCCGAGTAATTTGAATATGGCGATGTAATGGTACCACGCTTGGTAGTTCGCTGTGAGGGTTGTATGCGTGGTAATTTGGTGCGTGGTGAGGCGACGTGTGCTGATTTGACGTGTGGTAATTCGACGCGTGGTAACTCGACTCGTGGTGATTCCATGCGTGGTAATTCGACGCGTAGTAATTCAACGCGTGGTGACTCGGCGCGTAGTGATTCCATGCGTGGTAATTCGACGCGTGGTATTTCGACGCGTAGTAATTCGATGCGTGGAGATTCGACGCGTGGTAATCCCACGCGTGGTGATCTCACGCTTGGTAATTCGACGCGTGGAAATTCCACGCGTGGTAATCTCACGCTTGGTAATTCGACGCGTGGAAATTCCACGCGTGGTAATCTCACGCTTGGTAATTCGACGCGTGGAAATTCCACGCGTGGTAATCTCACGCTTGGTAATTCGACGCGTGGAAATTCCACGCGTGGTAATCTCACGCTTGGTAATTCGACGCGTGGAAATTCCACGCGTGGTAATCTCACGCTTGGTAATTCGACGCGTGGTAATCCCACGCGTGGTAATCCCACGCGTGGTAATCCCACGCGTGGTAATTCTACGCATGGGATTTCGACGCGTGGTGACTCGACGCGTAGTGATTCCACGCGTGGTAATTCGACGCGTGGTAATTCGACGCGTGGTGATCCGACGCGTGGTAATTCGATGCGTGGTGATCCCCTAACGCGTACTAATTAAGCACGTGGTGATCTAACGCGTGGTGATCTACCATGTGATCCACTAACCCTCTAACGCATCTAAGCTACCACGAGGCCATGCATGGAAACAGCAACATATGATATTCGCGTCACAAACAACAAGCAAACTATTCTCCGTGAGGACAAGTACTTATCAATAATG